AGTTCCATTTGTTCCAGTCAAAACAACTCTGTTTTTTTCCCCCCTTAAGCCGAGGCGAGGGAGCAGTGAACCCGCACCTCCTTAAACGCATCCGCCTCCTCGCAGGGGACCCATGTGCTCAGTGAACACCTCCACTTCTTCAATCAGCTGGGTCTGTACAGTAACTAACTGCAGTGTGCCTGCTCCTGGACGCTGTCTTCACTAGCGAGAGGTTCCCCTGCACGCATCTGAACTGAAACCAAGATCCTGTGCAGCCTGGGGCAAGGGGCTCTTGGAGCCCTAGGAGTCAGTCACATAAAGTAAACTGTCTTTTCAGTAACTTCCCCAAAGGAACAAACCAAACCACAGTGTCAAAGCAGGGCTATTGCTGCACAGAGCTCTGCGGTCTGATTTCCCCCTGTGCCCTCCACTTCAGCCATCCCATCTACCCAGCAGCTCTGCTCTTTGCTACAGCCTCCATAGTGCTGGGAAACCAGGGGCAGGACAAGAGGCACATCACTCTGAGTGGCTAAAGTAATGGAGAGAGAAAGCTGCAGGTTTGTGTGTCTGTCCTGCAGTGGTGGTGCTCAAGCAGCAGCACAAAGCCCACGGAGAGGTGTGGAACCCTGCCCAGTGCCAGCAGCACCCAGCAGATTCAGCATCCTCTGGTACTTGCTGGGAGCTATGAAGCACCAAAGCTACTCACACTTCGGGACTTGCTTAACACTGAAGTTCTTGCCATCTCCATGAACTCTGGACACACCTGAGCAGTGAACTCTGCTTTCGTTCATTTTCTTTTTTAAACACTGTATATATTTGCCCTTTTAAAATACCATGTGTATACATATGCACATATAGACACACACACACCCTTTTTACAAGGGCCCCTAGGGACAGGCCAAGGGGAATGGCTTTAACCTGCCAGAGGGGAGACTGAGATGAGCTCTTAGGCAGAAGCTCTTCCCTGGGAGGGTGCTGAGGTGCTGGCACAGGGTGCCCAGAGAAGCTGTGGCTGCCCCATCCCTGGCAGTGTTCAAGGCCAGGTTGGACACAGGGGCTTGGAGCAAGCTGCTCTAGTGGAAGGTGTCCCTGCCCGTGGCAGGGGTTGGAGCTGGAGGAGCTTTGAGGTCCCTTCAACAGAAACCAGGCTGTGGTACGTAAAAGAAGTTCAAGGTGCAAATTAAATTACAAAGAGGGACACCATCAACAGCTCCCCAGCAGGTATCCAGCTGTTGGCAGGACTGTCCTCACACCGAATCCAAGGCTGTCACCATCTAACCTGGCTCCACATGCCAGCCAGAACAGCTCCAAGCCTGTAGGAGCCTGGCAGCCCCCCTGGAGACAGTGAGGATGCAGGGACGTGCCTGAACCCACCCATACAGCAGAAAGGCAGAGCATACATATGCATGGCATGAGAGAGCTCCTGGGAATGGCGGCATGACTGCAAACCAGCATTAGCCTAGTTCCTCACAAACACCAACAGTGCTTGAATGAGAACAGAAAACGTTCCTGTTTGATCCATTCTCTCTATCTATGCTATCATTAATAGTGGGAGTGAAGACAGGGTTGTATGATTAATTTTATGGATCATGTGTTAGCTAGCACTGATATATCCTAACCAGGCATATAAAGCACCCACAAATGTAACTGATGAACAAGGCGTCTATCACAGAACAGAGCAGACACCAGGAATCCTGCAGGCTTTGGGAGCAGAGGAGGGCTCGCAGCAGTGACAGCCCCGCTTGTCCGGAGCCAACAGTTCATTACCACGGCACAAAGAAACGCTCAATAAAACCCTTCTTTGAGGTGCTTTCCCATCCTCCACCTTTGCAAAGACCACCACAGGAGGAAGGGAATACTCCCACGTGTGCACATCTCACGCTCTGCCAGCACACAGCTCAAAGTTAACACCCATGTGCGAGCTGATCAGAGGCCTGCTCCTAAATAAAAGGGCTGTTGGGATGTGCAAGCCCTACTGAAACTCAGCCCTCACACAGCTGACTGCTCAAGCACAGAACCCCGCTGCAGCCAGCCCCAAGGTCAGGCGAACCAAGCCCTGGTGTCACTGTCGCATCGGGTACCAATGCATTTGTGTATCTTGGACTTGCACAAGTAATCTGTTAAAATAGAGCACTTAGTCATTGTTTTGAAACATGACCTGACTGCTAAAGGACAGGCTGCTTCAGCTTTGTAGCCTGTTCCACTTGTGGACGTATTTTGGTTTGTCTAGACCTGGACACACTAAAATAACTAGATTCTTAGTGTCTGTGGGGCGCACTGGATCAAACCAGACCAGGAACACTATTTCAGTGGCATCTCAGCTGCCATCCCACCTTGTCACACCTCCCTGAGGAGTGGCAGTGCCCCGTCATTGCTGCCACAGCCATCGGCAACCTGAGCTCTGCTTCTGCACACTGCAGAGCACCGAGCACCAACCTGTACCCCACCGCATAGACAATACTTAGGGGAGACCTTAGAGAAGCTCCAGTGCCTAAAGGGGCTGCAGGAAAGCTGGAGAGGGGCTTTGGACAAGGGCCTGTAGGGACAGGCCAAGGGGAATGGCTTTAACCTGCCCGAGGGGAGACTGAGATGAGCTCTTAGGCAGAAGCTCTTCCCTGTGAGGGTGCTGAGGCGCTGGCACAGGGTGCCCAGAGAAGCTGTGGCTGCCCCATCCCTGGCAGTGTTCAAGGCCAGGTTGGACACAGGGGCTTGGAGCAAGCTGCTCTAGTGGAAGGGGTCCCTGCCCGTGGCAGGGGTTGGAAATGGAGGAGCTTTGAGGTCCCTTCCAACACAAACCAGGCTGGGACTCTATAAAGGGACCAGGACCCTGCAGCTGCAGGGCTCAGCCACAAGCCACTGGCTGTTTCCATGGACCCATTGGTGAGGCACCACCCAAGGTGGCTTCCTGGGAAGAGTTCCATGCAGAGCACAAGGCTGTGATGCTCCCCATGTGCCAGATGTGGGGACCACACCTAGTTTACACACCAAACCTTCCAGCTGTTTCACAAGCACCACTACACCCAGGCTTCAGCTCCCAGGAGGGCTGGGAGCTGCTGGAGCCCATCCCACAGCTACCAGAGTGAAGAGGAGCCTTTTCACTCCTTGAACACATCAGAAGTGTTAAATACCTCGGGGGAAAAAACCAGTCTCAGTGATTGATCAGTGCTGGTTCCTCTGCTGGAAAATCAGAAGTGGGTTTTTCCAGCAACTAAAGGAAGTTTGCCCACAATAATCCCCCAGGACTTGCCTGCAGACAGGCGGTGGTAAGGGAGGGAATAGGCAAGACTGAAGACTGGACTAAGAGCAGCTAAGTTTGCACCTCTAAATCCCTGCAATCCTGATAACATTTCTGCTTATTGCCTATGAAATCAAACCTAAACACATCTGTTTATATCACATCTCAACAACAGAAACCAGGATTGCCGATCAACGTCTTCCTTTGGCTCAAGCAACTTCTTTTTAAACTTAGGAGTGAGCAGCTACTAGAAAAAACACTTTGGGGCTGAACATGGAGCCTGGCTTCCACCCACAACGCAGGCCAAGACACCTTATCTCATGAGTAAGAGCTGGGTTCTGTAAGCAGCTCTTGAAGAAAAAGGGAGGGGGCAGGAAAAAATCCCCAATCCTGATAATGGTCAGGACAAAACAAGAAAAACTGGGTTTTATCCAGCGTGTGCCAGTGACTCTGTTGTGATTAAGCAGATGCGAGGAAGGAAGAGAACCGGGGGGGGGGGGAGAACTTTGGTGTTTCAAAATGATGTTTAGTATTACTTCTATGGTTCTCGGAAGCAGAGAATTAGAGGGGCTACGAATGCAAAGTGCTGATGCACACCAGGAGCACTGCCTCTGCTGCCTGGGGAAAAGCAGGGGGGAACGTAAAGAAGCATTAAGAAATAAAAGCATACAGCAGGTATTTCCTCAATACCGCTCCGACAGAGGCCATGGGGAGAACAGCCCAACTTCACTCCCCCAGGCAGGAAGCACATCCAGAGCAACGCGGGCACTGGGAATCCCACCAGCCGCAAAGGGAAGGGAATAAAGCCCGGGGCGGGGGGCGGGCAGGGCACTGGGAAGCTGCACGCAGCCGGCCCTGAGCCGCGAGGAGCCGGCGCACAACGCGAAGCTGCTTTCGAGTAAAAGAACAAATAAACCAACCGAGAGGCGCCGGGGCTGCCCCAGCGCCCGGCTCTCCTCCATCTTCCTCCTCCCATATCCAGCTCCTTCCCCGGCAGGGGCCAGCCCCACCGCCACCCTCCCGAGGCCGAGGGGTTCAAGGCCGGGGTTTTACGTCCCCCGGGATGGGGACGCTCCAGGGCAGGGACCGCAGCAGCGGCTCCGGGTGTCCCGGACCCCGGTCCGAGAGGGAGTCCGGGGGATGAGCACGGCGGGGACCGGGGTTGTCCGGACAGGACCGAGCACTGGAGGGGGAGAGCTTAAGGCCCCCCACCCAGCGCCGCTTGGAAGCGGATCCTGAGGAAGGAAAGGGAAGGAAAAGGGGTGGGATGATCCCCATACAACGACCCCGGACACTCAACCGGGCCGCGGGGCGGCGGAGCGGGGCCGGGCAGCACCCACCAGCGCTCCCTCCTTCTGCTTCTCAGTTTTATTCCAATTTCTATCCGTTTTTCGCTATCGTTCCGGTGAGGTTCCCTCCTGCGGCCGGCTGGAAGCCGGGGAGGGGCCGAGGTACGACGAGAGCGGAGGGATAATCTGTTTTTCGTCAATTAAATATATACCTTCTTTTCTTAAATCAACTTCGCAGCTGCAGGCTCCCCTGCGCTACCGGTCGCCATACTGAAGGCTTTCCCCCCTCCCTTCCCTCTTTCTTTAAGCAGAGGCTGAAACCAGGCCATAAAACGCACACAAAACCCAACAAAGCGCAAACTTTTCCCCGTGCCCGATGGCTCCGTGCAGGCGCCGGGCGAGAGGCCGCGTTTTAATCACGGAACCCGGGTTCATTACGGCAGGGGAGGGAGGCAGCGACACCGCCGCCAGCAGAGAAGGGGTCGGCCCGCACTCACCGATCAGCCCCCCCACCAGGAAGGCGATGACTTGGAACACCAGCAGGATGCCCCCGACGATGCACAGCTTCTTGGTGCTCATGTTCTCGATGATGGCCCCAGCCATCTTCGCACGCCGCCAGCCCCGCTCCTGCCCGCTGCTCCGCTCCGCTCCCCACCCGGGCGGGCGGGCTCACAGGCACGGCGGGGCCCGCCGGGACAGGACGGGACCGGGACCGGCCCCGCTCTTCCTCCGCCCGCTCCCGTCCTTCCTCCTCCTCCTCCTCCTCCGCCGTGATTGTGGCGGCCCCGCCGCATGTGGCCGCTTTAAAGGAGCTGGCGGCGGGTCACGTGACGCGGCCACCGCCCCTCCCCGCTCCCTCCGCACCGGCCCCCCCCCCCCCCCCGGCTCCCTCCTGAAGCGGGACAACCCCCCCACCCCCCCCCCTCCACAGCGGCATTCCCGATGGAGCGCTGCACTGCACTGCACTGCACTGAACTGCACTGTACTGCACTGCACTGTACTGCACTGCACTGTACTGAACTGTACTGCACTGAACTGCACTGTACTGCACTGCACTGCACTGAACTGAACTGCACTGTACTGCACTGCACTGCACTGAACTGAACTGCACTGTACGGCACTGCACTGCACTGCACTGCACTGTACTGTACTGCACTGTACTGCACTGCACTGTACTGTACTGAACTGCACTGCACTGAACTGCACTGTACTGTACTGCACTGTACTGCACTGCACTGCACTGCACTGTACTGCACTGTACTGAACTGCACTGTACTGCACTGTACTGCACTGCACTGTACTGCACTGCACTGTACTGTACTGCACTGTACTGAACTGCACTGTACTGCACTGTACTGCACTGCACTGTACTGCACTGCACTGTACTGAACTGCACTGTACTGCGCTGTACGGCACTGCACTGCACTGCACTTCACTGCACTGTACTGTACTGCACTGCACTGTACTGCACTGCACTGTACTGTACTGCGCTGCACTGTACTGCACTGCACTGTACTGCACTGCACTGCACTTCACTGTACTGCACTGCACTGCACTGTACTGTACTTCACTGCACTGTACTGCACTGCACTGCACTGCACTGAACTGAACTGCACTGTACTGCACTGCACTGTACTGTACTGCACTGCACTGTACTGCACTGCACTGAACTGTACTGCACTGTACTGTACTGCACTGCACTGAACTGTACTGCACTGTACTGCACTGTACTGTACTTCACTGCACTGTACTGCACTGCACTGCACTGCACTGAACTGCACTGTACTGCACTGCACTGTACTGTACTGCACTGAACTGCACTGCACTGTACTGTACTGCACTGTACTGTACTGCACTGCACTGTACTGCACTGTACTGCACTGCACTGTACTGCACTGTACTGAACTGCACTGTACTGTACTGCACTGCACTGTACTGCACTGTACTGTACTGCACTGTACTGTACTGCACTGCACTGAACTGTACTGCACTGAACTGTACTGCACTGTACTGTACTGCACTGTACTGTACTGCACTGTACTGAACTGTACTGCACTGAACTGCACTGAACTGCACTGTACTGCACTGTACTGCACTGTACTGTACTGCACTGAACTGCACTGTACTGTACTGCACTGTACTGCACTGTACTGAACTGCACTGCACTGCACTGTACTGTACTGCACTGCACTGTACTGCACTGCACTGTACTGCACTGCACTGCACTGCACTGTACTGCACTGCACTGTACTGCACTGTACTGAACTGCACTGTACTGTACTGCACTGCACTGTACTGCACTGTACTGCACTGCACTGTACTGTACTGCACTGCACTGAACTGTACTGCACTGCACTGTACTGCACTGTACTGCACTGCACTGTACTGCACTGCACTGTACTGAACTGCACTGTACTGCACTGTACTGCACTGTACTGTACTGCACTGAACTGCACTGTACTGCACTGTACTGTACTGCACTGTACTGCACTGTACTGTACTGCACTGAACTGCACTGTACTGCACTGCACTGCACTGTACTGCACTGCACTGCACTGTACTGAACTGCACTGCACTGCACTGTACTGTACTGCACTGCACTGTACTGTACTGTACTGGACTGCACTGTACTGCACTGCACTGTACTGCACTGCACTGTACTGCACTGCCCTGCACTGCACTGCACTGCACTGTACTGCACTGCACTGTACTTTCACTGCACCGCACTGTACTGCACTGTACTTCACTGCACCGCACTGTACTGCACTGCACCGTACTTCACTGCACTGTACTGCACTGCACTGCACTGAACTGTACTGCACTGTACTTCACTGCACTGCACTGCACTGTACTGTACTGCACTGCACTGCACTGCACTGCATAGCACTGTACTGCACTGCAAAGCACTTCACTGTACTGTACTGTACTATACTGCACTGTACTGAACTGCACTGTACTGCACTGTACTGCACTGCACTGCACCGCACCGCACCGGGCTGGGCTTCTGGAGCCATGGAATGGGTTGGGTTGAAGGGACCTCAAAGCTCCTCCAGCTCCAACCCCTGCCACGGGCAGGGACCCCTTCCTCTAGAGCAGCTTGCTCCAAGCCCCTGTGTCCAACCTGGCCTTGAACACTGCCAGGGATGGGGCAGCCACAGCTTCTCTGGGCACCCTGTGCCAGCGCCTCAGCACCCTCACAGGGAGGAGCTTCTGCCTAAGAGCTCATCTCAGTTTCCTCAACCTCTGGCAGCTTAAAGCCATTCCCCTTGGCCTGTCCCTACATCCCTTGTCCCAAGCCCCTCTCCAGCTTTCCTGCAGCCCCTTCAGGCACTGGAGCTGCTCTCAGGTCTCCCCTTCAGGAGCCTTCTCTTCTCCAGGCTGCCCCAGCCCAGCTCTCTCAGCCTGGCTCCAGAGCAGAGCTGCTCCAGCCCTCGCAGCATCTCCATGGCCTCCTCTGGCCTCGCTCCAGCAGCTCCATGTCCCTCTTCCGTGCGGTGCCCCCACACAGGTCACACCAAGCAGTTTTCCCCATTAAACTGCCCTTGGTTCACCTCCACATCCCAGGGCAGGGCTGCAAGGATGCTGCACACCCATCGCGGTCCCTGGAGGATGCTTCCCTCCTGGTTCTGCCCTCTCCCCCGTTCCCGTACCTGACTCAGAATGAGCTCTCCATCCCCGGCCACTCTCTGGTTATTTAGCATGAATCCCATTGTTCCTTCTACCCGATCTATCAGTCACGGGATAGCACAGTGGTCTGTGCTATGCTGCCCCATTGGGCATGCAGTGGAGAGCACAGAGCACTGCTGTCTGCAATTGAAACAAGGCAGGGAGCTGCTGAAAACACTCCTTGAGGACAAATAAACCATGAAAGGAAACAAGTGGTGACAACAGCCCCATCCCTGGCAGTGCTCAAGGCCAGGTTGGACACAGGGGCTTGGAGCAAGCTGCTCTAGTGGAAGGGGTCCCTGCCTGTGGCAGGGGGGTGGAACTGGGTGAGATTTAAGCTCCCTTCCAACCCAAACCATTCTGTGATTTCCAACAGAGGGAATACTGAATGTTGTCACTCGGAATAGACATGAAGTGTCCAACAGACACGCTAACCGTTAGTATTCGGTATTTCAAAATAAGCCTTTTTTATAGCACTTGTTCTATGGGGGTTTTCTTGAAATTTCAGTGTAAAGTACTTGGTATTTTAAGTCTTTAATTGTCTTGGCAAAAAGCCACCGTAACAGGCTTTGATTTTTGGAAGCAGGTCTGTGGGAACGCTCCTAGCGGGTTCATAATGGGTACAAAGAACTTTTCCATTAAGAGCTATTTTTAACACTGAAGTCATAACTTAATGTAAAACCCCCAAAAAGCAAAAACTAACCTGAACTTCTAAAAGAGTAAACTCTCTGGCAGTCACAAAATACCCGAAGTTATCCTTGACTCCTGTATCCCAACCGCTGCAATCACTGCTGGCAAGGAGAGCCTGCCCGGTCCAGGCCACCCTTGGAGGTCCCACAGTTACCCAAAGGCAGGGACGTGTATGACCAAACACCTCTGGAGCCACAAGCACCACTAAATGCAATCTGCCTTAATGACTCTACTAAAGTTACATGATGCGCTCTTAAATGTCCCATTTCTTCCAAGCAATTTATTTCTGGGATGAAAATCCAAGAGGCAGAGCTAAGATCCTGCCGTAATAACAGAATCTGAAGTGGGGAAAAGAAAGGAAAATAGCAAAGCCACAGGAAACAATGCTTCACATTTATAAGGCACTCTCTGTTTCTGGTGCATTCCTACACCTTTAATACTGCAACGTTTAGAGCTATTCATCTCATCTGACTTTTGACACACGTCCAAAGGGCGTATAGAGCCATACCATAGCGAGCCGAGACCTCTCTCTTGCCAAGGAGTGACCACACATGGAATCACACAGGGAAGAAACCAGCCCAAAGCACATGAGGAGGAACGTCTCCATCACTTACCCTTTGCAGCTGTTTACAAACCAGAACTTCTGCCCCTGTCAGGTCTCCAGAATCAATCATCTGGGAACTCATCTGCTTGCTGCTCATGACCTGACTTTCTCTTGACTGCTGGAGGCTGCTTTGCTATTAAAATAGCAATCCTACAGCCAGCCCCGGGCAGGAGGAGCCTTTCCACAGGGAATGCTTCTTCTTTGCAGGGTTGGGCCTCCAGCCCGGACTTTCAAAGGGGTTGAGAAGCCTGAAGATGCAGGTAAGGGCCCAGCGGGACTTCCACAGGCTCCTCGTTCTTGGTGCTACCTGTCTGTGCTACAGGTCACTGCAAAAGCCTTGAGAAAGCTCTTTGGGTGCTGGGTTTGCGCAGAGCTCAGACTCCCTGAAAATCACTGCGTTTTCTCCCCTTGCCTGTCTCATGTCAGTTGGTGAGCTGAAAAGTCAAGCTAGAATTCAGAGGTGGTTTCCAAACGCCACCGGAAGAGAAGGACACACGCTACAAATGCAACACGTAGGCTTGACAGAGGAGCAGCGATGATCTCAATTGGGAAGCAAAATGACATGAGCGTAGTAATCATGCTAAAAACAAGACCTAAAGCAAACCCAAAACCACCCCAAAATCAACCCCCACCGCAGTTATTCAGACTTACACTGCTGCACAGAAGTCCCGGCTTGAGCTGCTTCAGGTTTGCTTTACAGAAGCACTGTTTATACCAGTGCAACAGTGGACTCTGATCCATATATAAAATCCAAAAGATAATAGAGGACAAAAAGCTGATTAAATCATGGTCATCTCCCAGCAGATACAATCTTGTTGGTACTTGCCTGCT